ACTCTCCACTCTGACAGCTGAGTTTCAACACATGGGGAAGTAAGTTCCATCAAACAGGGATGGTTTTGAGAGCCAGGCCGTTTTTAGACGCACACCTGATCTGCATTTATTTCCAGTCAGAGGATGAATACTCAATGCTCAATACTAACAACAGTTCAGAGGCAGCTATTGACACAAAGCCTATGATGAGCTTATATTTGACGAAATATGAAGCAAATTATTCAAAAGCATAAAGAGCAGTTACATTTAGTTCCACAGCAACAATGAAAAGCTGCTGGCACATTCAGGTACCACTAATTATAATAATAAAATATTTCACTTCTCTTTCTTAACACAGGTCCTGGCACCTTTAAGAAATCCATCACCCCAACTCCTCAGACCTCTCATCTGACTAACCTCAGCAACCCTGTGATCCCTCCTCTCCCACCTCAGGTCGACCTCCCCAGTCTGCCCCCACGACACCCCGGAAGCCTGTAGGTCACACATTCCTGCGCACGCACACACACACACTTAGTAAATGTTGTGAATAAAGCTTCTAACTAAAGATAAATCCTAACTGTGCTTTACAGGATCCAACAAGAGGACTTTTACGATGATATTGATGAATTAAGCAACGCTCCTCCACCTCTACCACCACCCTCAGGTTCAGATATTTCCCTGTGTGATTAACAGTAATGTGTCAATACATCCCATATTGTCTGTGTTACTCCTTACTTCCCAAGTTTTGTTTTAAATTATGCAGTTCCACACCCTAATCATTTTTTGTTACTCCTCTGCAGGTCACCCGAGTCAGTGGGCAAAGGTGAGTGACACAGTGTATTTCCTTAATTTACATACTCACAGATTTGCATGCAGGTATTGGGTGTAGATGCAAACACAATAAACTCTGTGGAATATGGACACTGCAGCCACATAGGGTGAAAAGATAAAGTGTCACAAGTAAATAAAAACAGAACAGAGTCAATTAGGATAAAATAAGTGGATGAATAGAGCAAAAGGAGGATTGCAAGTCCATTGACACCAGCACACGGAGAATCAGAAGAAAAGTGTTAGAATCAGTCGTCCCACCAGAAATGAATGATGTGAAATATCAACAGTATGATGGAAAATATGTCATACATGTTTACAGAGGTGTCTCATGATGTATGAAAGACACACTGATTTTACCTCCACTTCTCAATCCAGGAGGAATTTAACGATGATGACGGAGACATGTATGACGATCTCGACGAACGATGGTGAGAGAATGTTCCAGTTTTTTTGGTGACTTCTTGTGTTTCTGTTAACCACAAGACACAATGTGAGCTGTAATGATTTTTTATTTTTACAAACATTTTTACAGATGCATTCCTTAATTTGGTTTCATACACAGTTTAGCTGTGACCTACTTTACTTACACTGCTCTCTGGTGGTTATTTTGCAACACTACAACCTAGTACATGGGCAGAATTCTTAGGTTACAATGCATGTGGTATTACATTTCATAAAATGTATGCTAATGCTACATAATAAGTATTTTTTTATTTTGTAAAGCTTCACTTCATAAATGTACATTTGTTTCTCTATCAAACTAAGCGATCTCTCTCTCTTTCATTCTAAAGGGAGGAAGCTGAACAAAAACTAGAAAAGAAGAAAGAGAAAGAGGCAAAGGAGGCGAAAAAACGACTGGAGGCTGAGAAGAAGGAGCAGAAGGAACGGGAGAAGAAGGAGCAAGATGCCAGAAAGAAATTCAAGGTGAGAAGAACAAGACTGACACTAGTTACATCCATTATGTTGCATATACAGTATGGGCACATGCAAACACTTGAGGTCTGCATAATGCACAATGTAAATTTTAATATGTGTTTATGCCTGGCTTTGTGTGTGTGTGTGTGTGTGTGTGTGTGTGTGTGTGTGTGTGTGTGTGTGTGTGTGTGTGTGTGTGTGTGTGTGTGTGTGTGTGTGTTTAGTTGGTTGGCCCCCTGGAGGTCATCCACCAGGGTAAAGCTTGTGTGGACTGCAGAGGCAGTAAAACCGACCTTAGTCTGACGCAGGGAGACAGTCTGGACATCTTGCGTGTACAAGGAAACCCAGAGGGGAAATGGTTGGGACGGAATCAGGATGGATACAGTACGTTCACGTTTATAACTAATCTGACTCATTTTCCTCCAGTACATGTTGTGACGTCCCTTCAGTCACACCTGGAAAAACAGGTCAGGACAAAAACACGTATTAATTATATATATCTGAAAGTAAATTTCACTTTGTTCTTTGTTTCTAACAGTTGGTTATGTAAAAACCACCTCAGTGGAAATTGATTTCAACTCACTGAAGAATCATCAGAGTCAGCAGGCGTACGACCCTGAAGTCTACGATGACATTGATGTTGTCTCTTCTGATAACAGGTACCAGAAAAATGAAACTAGAATGCAAAGTACATTATTTCAATGGAAACTACCAATAAGAAAACCAGTGTTACTCAACACAGAAACAAAGCTGTTAAGGTGTGATATCTTTGTTTCTGTCAGTTTGGTAACCATAGCACCCATGAGCTGCCAGATCAGGATTGTTGAATTTAACTGCACCATTACCAGCAGATTTAAAAGGGTTAGGACAGTACCACAACTCTGTTGAATCAATTTTAAATAAATGATGAGAAATGAAAGTTCAATAAATTACCCAGATGTTAAAATTGATATAATCTCTTCTTCTCTCTCTACAGTGGCACTAAAGGACCAGGAGGTATGCATTCAATCTTACAGTGTTACCATTTGTTCCATTAAATTCAGATTATTACTTTAGATTAAATCAATGTCAAGTTAGTTTGTGAATAAAACATGTCACCGATTCAAAATGTGGGTTTATCTTGTAGTTGTCCTTCCGCCGCTACCAGGAGAGGAAGGAGAAATATACGATGATGTTGTTGATCCAGTCCTGCAAGTCAGGTGGGAACTGATCAATTGATTTAGAAGAATTGGGTAGATGGAGAAAAAAGTGTTACAGCAGTTCAATCTCTCTTAAACCTTTTCTGAAGAATGAACGCAGGCTGATAATGTTAAATGGTAAAAAGGAGGGATTGAAAATGTCACATCCAGAGAAATGCAAGTTTATTTCATCCTCGCTTAAATTTCTAGTCCCATGGTCACCAGGTCTTCCTTCATGAAGTCCCGCAACTTCCTGCGGATGTGGAACAATCGTCCGGCCAGCGCTAAAGTGTAAAAATACACTCAGTAGTAAGACTGATCACAGATCTACTGTCCACTGCTGTAAATCTCCCATCTTTTGTCACTTCTCAATTGTCCTTTGAGTGTTGACTTTCTGCACAGCTCTTCATCAGAACTGAATTACACTGAAGGACTCGAATTTACAAACTGACTATTGCATGAGCAGCATCGTTGCGTCTGATTATCCGTGATTTTACTAATAATTATCTCACAGTTTTTTTTGCATGTGTTGATATGATCAGAAAATCAATCTGCTAACATGTTTTAACAACTCTGCAATATTGTGCTGTAATTCATTAATATTACTAATTTCAGCTGCCTCAAATCATGTACATCTACTTATTAATTTTCTTGTGTTGTGCCAGAGTGCCTCCACCCAGCCAGTTCACTGCAAAGGGGAATACAGGTAATGCTCACTCTGATGATGCTGACATGTTGTGCATGGATATCTAATGAAGAAAATAAACTTGTTTCTCATTATGTTTCTTCCTCGGCTTTAACAAAATAAATCTTTGACCTCTCAGTTGAAAACAAAGTAGAGATGTTCTGGTTTGAATCTCTATGTATAAGTGCCCTTGAGCAAGGTTATAAAACGGACATACACCAAATGGTTTTGCAGCCACAGTTTCATTTGGTTTGGTATGCGTGCTAACACTAGCATATATTAGCACAGTTAACTGGACACTCTTGTTAAATTACCATTCTGAGTCATTTTGCTGACTTCATGACACTTCTACATTTTAGCATTTATCATTTAACGGTTATGACCACAGTGACTGGTGTTCAGCAAAATGTCACAGTTTCAATTCAAAGAACAATCCTTTGACAACTTGTATTTTTATCTCGAACAAGAAATATCAGAATCTATAATATATTTATACTTCGACTTAAGATTTTACCCCACACCTCATCTTTATATCCTTTACAACTGACAGTGTTTTTGTGTGTAGTGTGATTAAAACATGTTCCCTCTGAATGCATGATAATCTCAGGTGTGTGTTTTTGTCATTTTCGTTCACTGACTGTTTCCACACATCACCACAGATCAGCCAGAGGATGACGAAATATACGACGATGTTGACCCTCAAAATTCGCCTCCACTTCTGCCTATTAGCAGGTACAATAACATGTCTCTCAAAAAACATTACAATCGAAGACAACAGTGTCCATCCATTAACAACCATATTTCACTAAACTTTTTACTGTTTTTGTTTTGTCCTCTCGTTTGTTATGTTTTTCTCCAGCTTTTCAAAAGGCAGGACTGAAGAGATGGACCCGAAGAAGCTGAAAAAGTTTGAGAAAGAGGAGAAGGACTTCAGGAAAAAGTTTAAAGTCTGTTCCTCTGTTTTTAAACATGATTATCAATCCACTCCTCCTACTCTAATGTTAATGTACCAGTACATTTTAGCAGGGATGTGATATTCCAAATAATAACTATAATTGTATATTCTGATTGTGTCAAAATAAAGTTAAATTTAACAAATGATTTTGTTTTCCAGATATTTAGATCAAACTGTTTTCCAAGAATAAAGTAAAGTCAGAAATGTTTTCACAGTCACATACTTATATAAGTTGACGGAATCGTTTACACCTCTTTCAGTACGACGGCGAGATCCAGGTGCTGCACCAGGTGACCATCGTCCACACACTTACCAATAAGAAGTGGGGTGGGAAAGAGCTGCCAGTCAAAGCAGGCGAGAAACTTGACGTCATTGTTGAAGCTGTGGACAACAAACTTATCTGTCGGAATGAAGAGGGCAAGCGTGAGTATTTGCTGTTTGTTTGTTTGTTGGTGTCTGATGATACCAAAAAAAACGAATAAGTGCTTTTACATTATCTGGTCTAAATCTCTGTCTGCCCATAACAGTTGGTTACGTTTCTACGGCGCACATTGTTATGGAGTGAGTACAACAAACAGTTGCACATTCACACACAAGAATAGAGAGACATCTGTGCTGATCATTTTGTTTTTGTTGCAGCGATGCTGATATCTACGATGACATCGGAGAAGGTACAGTTTGAATTAATCGTTTTTATTTCATGAATATATTTCAGCACAGTGACCTAATTTTCTAATCAATGTCTCCTTCTTATTCTTTTTTCCAGACTGTATTTATGACAACGACTGAGAAACATGCACTTGGTGTTGATGTTTTACACTGATATTGTTCTTGTTATTTATTACATTTTATTGATGATACACACTAGAAGTCCATCTGATAATCAGACTGAATCGTAATTTCATTTTAATGCCATTATTTATAGATAAAGATTTGGCATATTGGACATGTGGGTAGAATTCCAAGATCTTAAACCAGGTTTGCAGTAAAGTGCTTTTGAACAATTCGATCCTTTAAAAAAATATTTCTTGAAAAAAATATTGATGTGGTTATGTTACTTGTAATATTTTGGGGAAGTGGGAAACCTTTATTGAATCAACAGTATTTCTATATTTCTGTTTTTATATTTTACCAGTCCCCCCCCCTCCCTTCTATGTATACTGTGTTTTTCAGAGTAGCAGCATGTTTAAATGAAAGTTGTAAATATTACTTCCTTCCTTTGTCATTAATAGCTGTATCTGATATGATACTGATCATAACTACTTTCTTTGTCTCTGGTTTCAAAATGTAAAATAAACTATTTTAGTGCCATGGTGAAGTTATTTTGAATTATGTAAAAAGTGTGACACACAAACAGAGAAACCCATCTAATGCCATAACACACACAAGGCATTCAGCTTTTTACAATTCAATACTTCAGCATGTTGGACTTCCCTCCGCATGTTTTGTGCAAGAAATGGGATCAGTGACATCTAGTGGAAGCCATTATAACTCTAAACACCGAGAACTGGATTTTCATATCGTGTCACATCTCTGGCAGCAGAAAGAATCTCATAATTAATTAATTCACAAATTCTAGGCCTAGACTTGCACAGAGGCTCTGGAATATAAACATGCCACAGATTCATAGATATAAATACATATTGCTGAATATGCGCTGTTTCCATAGTGGGTCAAACATCCGAACACTGCATGAATCTAAGTGTCCTTTATAAGACCCAATGCACCCTGCCGCCAAATATGAACATATATATTGTTAAGAGTAAGTAAAAGTAAGAACTAGATCCAGTCTTAGTTATACTCTCTGAGAACTGTAACAGTGAGCAGCATCTTCTGTCATATGGCTTCGTTTTTGCAAAAAAGATTATTCTCTGATGCAGAAGACTGAGGATGACAGACTAGAGGTTTTGGGAATTATTAGTGGGATATATTCTTATGTTTTATTTTGTAATAATGTGTTATGAGATTAAGCAAATTAAATACTTTTGCAATATTCAAGCAAACATAAACATAAACATCTGCTGCTGTAATGTTGAAATCTCCCCAGTGTGGGATGAATAAAGTCTATCTTATCTTATCTTATCTTATCTATGAACTATGTGTTAAGTTACTACATAGTGGATCAACTAAATCAATTTAACTTCCACAAAAATATCTAACACATTGTTGGATTAAATAAAAATATAAAGACAAACAGTCACATCGCAATAATCTGAACAATAAGTAAGTGGATATCTAATTACTGAGAGACATGTTGGTGTCTGATGATAAACAAACTTCGTTGGTCCTGAAGGAAATAATACAAATCAAACAAAACATAGATCAGTCACATAACGTTGGAGGAGGGTAATGTGACACAACATAGATAATAGATCAAATAGATCAATCAGAAAGATTAAGAGTTAACAGATGTAATTTAGCTGCTCGCTCCGCTGGGGAAAAAATAAATAAAACTCACATCCGCTTAGACCGGAAGTCTCGTCCTCGCGTCACGATGGTTCCTCCAGTCGCAGTTTCTCCGCTCATCAAGGTAAAAACATGGACCACATGCTGTTTAAATATGATCCGATGTCTCTTCAGGGTTAGAGGACAGACCTCACAGTAGAGCTGTCGTCTCTGGGTGTGCAGCTCTTTTGCTAACTAGCCGCCGGTTGTTGTGCTAGCATGCTAGCTGGTGTCTGCTAGCGGTGACATTGACAGGTGAACCGCGCTCACCGCTGCGGAACCCTGGATCCCCCACATGTGACTGAAGCCGGAGGCATGGCTGCTGTTTCTGGTCGTAGTGCGGTAATAACCCCGGTGGGTCGTGTTCAGTCAGGTTACAGTGAAACAGCGTGAAAGCCGTTTAACAGTAAGGTCAGAGAGAGACTGAACTTCGCCCCACACAGTCACCGCTGAGCCCCGGTGCTCACTGATCTGGAGTCAGTCTGTTAACCGGTGTTAAAGTCAAGAGCTGGAGCGAGATCAGACACATTAGATCAGACACAGAAACATAATGATGAGTGAGTTATAGTTAGTTACTGGTTAACACTTCCTGTGTGTTTCAGACGGCCAGGTGGTCTGCTCTGCTGCTCGGCGTCTTCTATGGCAAGCAGAGGTTTGGTGAGTGAACCTCAAGGGACACAAAGTTTTCTGGATATGATTGTTTAACTGTTGTGGGTATGATTTATTCATATAATGAAATCCTTAGAGACACATACAACATACCTGACTGTACAGGTGTAAAAGATAACACTCATGGTTTCAGATTCCTGTGGCCAGAAGGGAAGAATACAATTTTAATACGAAGGACAGTCCCAAAGCTTCTTGGGCCCCTTCATTGACACATTTAACTCTGAATAATATATTTTTATAAATTAAGCCTATTAATGGGTCTGTATTTGTGTCAGTGGTATTTGATGTAATGTTTAATTGTGATGGCGATTTATATCTACATATAAATCTATAATCTATGTCGCCTCTATTAATCTATTAGTGTGTTGGAATTCTTATTACTAATACCAGTCCACAGTTGTCAGTAGAATATATTGCACAATGCGAATTTAAAACTACTCAGTGAAGTGAATTATCTACCTTTAATCAACCATTAAGTATCTGTGGTGTTTTCTTTGTCAGACTACCTAAAGCCCATTGCTGAGGAGGAGAGGAAGGTTGAGGAGGCTGAGAAAAAGGCCAGAGAGGAGCAGGAACGCATCTACAAACAGCTGGCTGAAGGTGACAGAGACACACATTTCATTTTTGTCTTTCCACCGGCCTAACACACAAAGATTGTCCATAACGTGTGTAATGATAACGAGAGATCCCAAAATGTTTTGTTTACATTTCCCCACTCCTGTTGTCTCTTTTCTCTGCAGCAAATTCGGACACCATCCTCAAGTGATGCATCTGTGGACCTGTGTCCTTGTTTCAGACCCAATAAAATTATTTTTCATGTAATCATCAAAGTGTTCTTACTTTACTTGTTTTTTTATTTGGGTTAAAGTTCATACTAAAAATAATAAAATAACAGTAGCATCAACCCAGTTAATATCCTAAAAATAAGAATCAAGTTATTATTTAGGCTTAGTCTGTTAGTTTCAGTTCAGCATGTGTCTGTCTGTCGTGTCTGTGTGTGTCTGTGTGTGTTTGTGTGTGTACACACCTGTCCTTCAGAAGATGAGCCTGGGGATGGAGCACAGTTGTAATCCTGGCCTTGTTTAGCAGCAATCCCAGGATTGGGGTCAGGGACCAGTGGTAGAAAGTGCAGTGTGGACAGAAGTGTCCCCTCAATACTCTTGTGTGTTGTGTAATATCTTAACCTTCATTATGAACTCTGCATTGCGTTATCGCATTAAATAGTTCATGCTAGTGCATTATAACAGTGATGGCTAGGAAACTCCGAGGAGCTGCTACACTTGACTGAAACTAAATTTGTATATTAATGATATATTTAGCTCTTGATAATGTGGTAATCGGTATACAATCATTTTAACTTCTAAGTAAGTTGCAATTTTAATATCACAGACAATTAATTCACTCAGATACCTGATAAAAATACATTTGCTTTATTTGGATCTTCTTTAGACATGTAGATCAAATGAAGAGACAAGCTTTAATATACTGAGCAAAAGGTAAATAGACTATTTAAAAATCTTAAGGGTGTGTCTGCAACACATAATAATAATTACTGTCTGTATTTACTAATACAAGTTGGTCATCTCTGATACACCCATTTTCATGTGTTGATAATAAATAAGGAGAAAACTAAATTACTAGAAGACTCATTTACCAGTGCCTGTTAATATCATTAACATCCTAATAAAAAAAAAGAAGCATCTATATATCAACTAAAAAAATAGTTGTTATGTATTTACAGGGAGGGAGAGATTATGTACAAGTTTTTACAAGAAGTTCAGTTTCTCCCTCTCTCATGGGAAAACGCCATTGTTGCATATTATGAAATCAGTGGCTTCAGATCTGGAGTGAGTCCTCAGGTTGTTTACTGTGACTGGCTCCTGCTCTTTTTCAATTCCACACTGTTTATTTTCTACTTTCTGTAGCAGATGGAGAAAGATAGTTCCTGCTCCTCCTGCTGTTCACTGCTTGAAAAAATTTGACTCATTACTATGTCGTCCATAATACAACAAATCTTATCTGACCCCAGCAACGAGTCTGGGTTTCAACATGCTTCAAGACATTCGTACCTATATTCATAAAATAAAACAACAGCTACTCGTGTCAGATGTATGTACAGTGAGAAGGCATCATGAGAAAGCAGCTACAGGCTCGTTTGCTGACGGTAAAGTTAAACTTCTTCTAAGCAAGGAAAAGTGATCGAATCACAAAAGTGGAGCAGCCCTGAGCTCACCCTCTACCTTTGGCTCTCTGCGATCAAGGTAAACAAACTCTCATTTGGTAAATGATAAGTGACTGGAAGGAGTGAATATGACCTCATCATTTTGGAATATATGTACAGCAGTTTAATAACAGTTCTATCTACCCATGATCTTGATTTACATTCTGAAGAATCTAAACTCAGTGACATTAATGTACAGTGTGCTAGAAACAAACAGGATAAACAGTCTACAGCGACTTGGACTGGAACGTTCACTCTTACTTAACTTCTACTTTGTCCTCAAACATCAGGAAACGTTATGAGAGAAAACCTGAGATTCAAAATCCACATCAGCTCTTGGTTCATATTTCAATTTGAAGAACTTTAAGACAGTGATGGACACTTTTGTTCCTGTTTTTATTTATGTGGCCCATTTGCTTACTTTCCCTTCAAAATAAAACACTGCTCTTCATGGCGAGGATTCTCTCCTTATTCAGCTTTTTCATTTCTCATCAGAACCAGTTTGTCTGAAGAAATATTATTGGGCTTTGCACTCACTCAAGACTTGCTGACTCTTTGCATTTGTTTTCCTGGAGGTGAGACTGATTGAAGGTGATGCTGAAGTCAGTCTGTCATGATCTGTCCGTGTGCAGAGGGTTAGGGTTAGGCTTCTAGCACACGGAGCAGGTCTTGGAGCCTCCACCACCCACGTTGTTTGCAGCACCTAGTGATCAAAGAAAACACCAAAAAAATCAATATATTTCTGAATCAGGTTAAATTTCATTTTTTTGTGTTGTGGCTAAATTCACTGTACCTTTACTGGGTGCAGCCGCCTCTCGAGCAGCCTTCTCTTCCTCTATAGCTTTGAGTTTAGCTTCATACTCCTCTTTCTTAGCGTTCCACTCCTTCCTGTTGTTGAGAATGCCGTCCAGCATGGGCTGGATTTGTGGGTGGAAGCGAGAGAACTCCTGAACAGAACAAAAGGGTCAGAGGCAATTTACGTCAATACAAACAGATAAAGTTTGGTTAAGGAGGTTTTTCTTCATGCTTTTTGATGTTATAATGTTAATGGAGTAAGTAGTCACACCCATTCAAACAAGCTGTGCTTCTATATGGCTTCTACTGACATCATTCTCAATATGACAGAACATCAGTGAAGGTTAGTCTCTGGGGATCTAATCATTAACCTTCTGGTATGTGGACATCCCGCTCTACCACCTGGGTGGTTGAGGCTCAGGAGGTACGACATATTATTTTGTCAGACCAGGAACCACACAAAAAACCCTGACAACTGAAAACAGCACAAGTGTGAATCATTACCTTGTAGACAAACGTGCAGACAAAGTCAATAAAACCACATTGTAGTTTTGGAAGATCGGCGGCCTTGTTCCTGTCCATCATGGGCTGGGGGGAGGGACATGGACAAAACATATTGAATTAAAAACCATCAATATAGTTGTTTTAGTGCTGCACACAGATTCAGATTGATGCTCATTGTTTTAATTTGCAAACTCACAATGGGTTGCTGTTCTAGTACCGTCCTCTCCAGGTCACCCTGTTCCCAAAACTCTGCTGCTACAGACAAGGCAACCTGAAACACACACACACACACAGAGTCAAGATTGGAGAAGCAGCAAACACTCAGCAAGTCTCTCTTTTATTAAATGTTTGTGCTGCTCACCTTGCTCTGTACCTCCCAAGGCTTTGTAATGGCGGACAAGTCACATGCTGTCATCATCATGGCCCTGAAACGAAATGTGTGAATCAGAGAAACGCCAAGCAACAAACAAACTCTGTGTGTGTGTTCGTTCCACTCACATGAGAATCTCCTTCCTGGTGGTTTCTAGAGACATGAAGTCGACCCACTTCTTCTCGTCCTCATACGTGTGGGAAAGGTCCACGATCTTCTGAAACATGGTTCTTTTCCTGGGAAGGTACAAGGAAAGGAAATATTCCACTGGTAAATATTTTACTATATAGACATGAAGGTAGTGAATAAAGAGTCTGTTCTGACTTGAAATAAAGAGCCAGGTCTGTGGCGATGATGGCGATGTCCATGAGATGAATGACATGGTCCACCTGTCGCCTGTGGAGGTTCTGGTAGATGTTCAGTGACTGCAGGTGAGAGGAAGGGAGGGAGGTGGACACCAGTCATAGTTAGGCATCGTAGGAGGTGACAAGGTTTCAGTGATGCACGAGTGAAGTTGTTCTTTAGTTCACATCTTTTTTCTCACATCATCATTCAAAAGGAACTTTCCAAACTCCAGATGGTGCCGTTCCAGGATTGAGGAGCCATGGAGCTTGGCCAGAGGGTTCCCAGATCTGTTGGAATCAGAAATGAAAAAAGTTCTCTCTACGTTTATACATAAACCGCTTACAGTGATTATAATTTGATCAGTAGAGTGAATATTTGACCAATAATCAGTTTCTACAAACTGTAGAATTTTGGGTTTAATTTGGTTTCTCCCATCAGCTCTTACTTGACTTGGTACAAGTTGTTTGTCCCTCTGTGATCGATATCATGCAGGAAGCCTGCGGTTATCATGGCCATCACCTCCAAGTCAGTGTAGTATCGCTTCAGCATTCCCGTCTGAACAAACACACACACACAGAAAGTAGTCCATTAAAACAAATACACAAAACATGGTGGAGTGCAGTAAAACTTTCAGATATTAAAGCTGAACATTGATGCAACCTAAAAAGCTCCTTCTGTAAAAGGAGGTTAACATAATAATACCGTTAATAGTGTAAACATGGTCTGTCCAACGTTGAAGCCGTGACGCCAGTTGTGGTAGGTGATTCGTCGGTAGCCTTTACTGACAGAGTACATGAACCGAACCAGCACCTAAAGGGAAGAGGAGAACCAACACTGTGAACCTGGAGCTGAAATCAAGACATAAACCTGTGACGGAGATGAAGTATTAGTACGCGTGATTATTTGTTGGTCTAGATCACCTCTTGAGGGACCTGGAACTTCTTGACCACCCCGACCTCATAGTACATCTGGATCCCGCACTTCACCAGCTCCATCTCTGTGCAGTTAAAATCCGAGAAGTGGAACTGGTAGATCTCGAACTTCTTAATCATCGGAGGTAGTTCTTTTTTCTGAGAGAGGAATGAACAGAAAGCAGAGAGGATAATACCATTGGCAGATTTGGTAACTGACTTAGTTTCTTGCTAATGAGATGTCACTCTCCCACAAACTTGAACAAGTCTTAGTTTTTGTTTTACCAGAATGGCAAGGAGCTCATCCTCTTCACACGCTGCAGGTTCACAGCTGTACAGCTCTCGGGTGTTCTGGGAGAAACGAGAGGTTTTCATGCTTGAATCAACAAATGATTTGAGAGAATCGGTTATTAAACCTCACACAAAGTGAAACAGTGAACAGAGAGTGCAACATTTTTTATGAAACAACGTTGACAAGAGAGGATGTGTTGCTGCACACAAGACTTTTGACAATGGTGCATTATAAATATGAATCTAATGTACAGCACTGACCAGGATATTCTGAATCTCATCATCCCGACATTTGACATGATACAGCACCATGTCCTGAGCGATGTCTTTCCGATTCTCCAACTTGTTCATTTTGTCGTAAGTGTCCGTGTTCAACACTGACCAGCCCAGGAA